AGGGTGTTTCGGAGTCAGGTGTACATCAACAGAGGTTATCAGAGCTAAAAGTGGGCATGTTTCGGTATGAATATGACATCCGGCTACAGAAGGGAGGGCACAGGGAGAGAGGTAAATACTATCCATTGTCTGAATGAAAGAGGCACGCGTCGGTCTGTCGACACTTCGCGCGCGCCAATCAGCCAATCAGAGAGTGCGAAGCGCTGCTGATGGATCATACCATTTGCACTCAGATGACAGGACACCCCCCACGCCTCGGGCAGTTTTCAGCCGGCCGTCACCTTTGAAAGTCGGCCAATCAGCCAATTAGAGAGTGCGAAGCTGTTAATGGATCATTCCATTTGCATTTAGGTGACAGGACACCCCCCACGCCTCGGACAGTCTTCAGCAGGCCGTCACCTTTGAAAGTCGGCGTCACCCCCGTGGCGAATCGGAACTGATCACTTTCACCACCTTTAAAGTTCGTTTAAAGCGTTCCAGTACATTATTATTGAACAATCCGCCCTAATTATTGTGCCCCGCGAAGAATCCTCGGTGTAGTTGAGAACAGTCGCGTTTAATTCGTAGCTTTAATCGAAATTTCGCCCGCGGCCAGTGCGGAAGTAGACCATCTTTTCGGGACCTGTTGGACGTGCCTCGTGAGTCGTGGTATCCTGCCTTTGGGAGATGTGAATTTAATTGACATTCTATAGATTTTCGTCGTATTATTGATAGTGTGAATTCAGTTATCGTGTCTCGCGAAAATTCCTCGGTGTCTACGAGAACCGCCACGAATAATTTTTACCTTGGATCGAAATTTCGCCCGTGGCTAGTGCTAGAGGCGGCCATCTTGTCGGGACTCGCTGAATCGTGCCTTCGGTGTCCTGCCTTTGAGTGATCTGAATGCTATTGATATTTCATCGATTTTCGTCGTTTAAGTACCCGTGGAAATTGCTGTTCGTCGCATTATTATCGTGTCTCGTGAGAACTCCTCGGTTTATTCGAGAACAGTCGTGTGATTCTTAGCTTGAATCGTGTACCCTCGTAGTGTAAGAATAGGCCATCTTTCGTATCGGTACTTGCTGACGGTGCCTCGTGGGTCCCGAACTCCAGAGCCCTGAGTTTTGGTGCCCTGTCTTGAAAGTGAAATTGATGATCTTTGTAGATCTTCATCGTGTAATAGACAGTTTGAATCGCGGATTCCCTAGTGCGGTCTTCGGATGCGTCCGAAATTTTTATGCGTATTGTTTCATCAACTCATGTCGCGGTATTCAACATTTTGTGCGTGCGTGTTTTTTTCCTCAATTATCAATTCAGTATCCCGTCTTAAGTGTGTTAGTGTGTTTCGCGGCTCCTGTTCCTGTTCAATTTACCATGATCCAATCGATAGAGCTTTTTCATTACCGCCAAGAGGATGTCCAGTATTTGGTCGAAACTTTTCCTCACCGCTGCTGTTGGCTCTGGATTGAGGTTTGAAGTATCTATTCTCTCTTTAGATTTTGCCCAGATAAGGTGTCATTCATTGTGAAATTGTACCTCTACCTCTAATACTTGTCAGAGTCTGACAACACGCTAATTTTTTAGGTCTTCATCATTTACTCAATGTTAATCAACTGAAATTGGCTTTCACTCCAGTCTGACAACATTCTAATTTTTCAGGTCTTCATCATTTACTTTATGTTGATCAACTGAAATTGACTTTCTCTCTTAGGATTGAATTGCTTTGGACTCTAAGATTAGTTCTGGTTATCATGACCTGCACTTGTCTTAATTATTTTTCCACACTAAGTTAATGCACCGAAGTAAGTAAGTGTGGATGACATGACGATCAAATATCTGATTAAACACCTTTCCCTTGCCACTAACTCCCTGTTGTCCTCAAAATAATCGGGACAGCCTCGCTGTCTAGGAAAGAATTTTTTGCTCCAATATATTCTTGATCTTACTTACTTACTATATTAGGCGTATACACTGTAGATCATAGGGAGCTTGTGTTTTGCCCCTTAATCAAACTTAAACTACAATTTTGCAACCATCCTGTCCAGACGAGAGTTACCGATCAGGAATACTGGTGCCTCTATGAAAGCATTAGCTTGCTTTTAAATTACAAGAAATGTGCGTACCCCTTACCTTTTACTCAGAGTTCCTCTAATCCCTTGCCCCTCACGACTATGCCATGTTTGCAGCTTCCACTGTGACAATCATTTTTTTCACCTCCTTCTCGAGGAGAGACGGTAATGGAACGGTTCCAAGTACATAACTAGACAAGATTTTTTGTAGTTCAATCATCAATTCCAGCAGCATTTTCCAAGATTTATGTGTAAGATTCTTGATTCTTTAATCCTTTCCCACCTCATTTCTCACCTCATATCCTCAAATAGTTCAGAGTCAGATCATATTTTGATTCTGGGAAGTTTCAAGTAATTTTTCCAGGTAGTTGAGATCATTATGCGCTTCCCAATAGCTTCAAAGTTGCATTGGAATGATCAATATACGAGTTCATAGAGATTTTTTGTCCCTGCTAAATGGTTCTGAATTGACTGTCATTTCTAAAATCATTGTCTGATATAATTTGCCCATGCATACATGGATGTTGTTGTTGAAATATATGATATCTCACTCGGATGCATGGAAAGATCACCCGTTGAAATTTTTGTTTTCTTCAGCTGGTTTAAGTGTCCTCTTTTGCCGACTATAGGATCCATAAGAGGAAATTGAAGAGAGAAGAAGGATAGATGAAAGAGAGTGAACATCCATGCCCCTCGTAAATGAACCCAGAGAAAATTTTTTCCTGTAATTTTAGCTCTTGGTTGTCAGGGTGCCCCCTCCCCTCCAGTATTGTGAATATAGTATCATCTGCCCCCCCCCCCTTCCTCCCATAAAAATCTGCCAAGATGAAAACAGCCTCCGAGATGGTGCAATTTCTTGTCTCGTTGAATAATATGCCTGAAAAGTGTAGAGAGTTTGAGTTTTTTTCAAGGATTATTGGTAGAGTCATATTTGGCAGATTATTGGCACAGTTATATTTGGCAGATTATTGGCACAGTTATATTTGGCAGATTATTGGCACAGTTATATTTGGCAGATTATTGGCCTAAGTTTGCGTGAGAGTAGTCTTTAAATGCACCAAAGAGAAGCCAATATTCCAAGACTGCAAGAGAGATCCACAAACGCCCTTTTCAGTGTAAAGACGCAAACTCATTAAAAAGGGAGGGGGGGCAGGCCATCCCCAGTTTGCTCTAGCTGCCTCTGTTGTTTTCTAGCAAAGTACCAAATGAATTTTTCAGACTATCGAGATGGAAATGTCAGGGAAACCATAGCATTGTCAATTGAACTTNGGGGGGGGGGGGGATGTTAGTTTGGAGGAGTGCCGCTGAAAAATTCTGAGTTATGCCTTAAAATGACCCAAATCGCTCCTTTCAAATGTCAACCACTA